ATTTGATTTATTGGTTTCTGCATCTTTTTTCTTTTTTTCATCATACATTTTCATGAACATAATATGGCTTGATACAATATTTCAAGTGTATATAATTTTTATACAGATAATAAACGATATTAAACACATATATTGAATTTAAACAAATATATTGAATGCTTCTTACTCTGGGAGGGGGCCAGAACCCCTCCCAGACCCACCCCTGCTTGGTCGCTCCGCTCCCTCGCCGTTAAAGCCTTGTTCTGTTGCTTCTTCGTTTTAGATAAATTTCACCCCCATGCCATTTTGTGCCCCCCCCCCCGTAAGAAATTCCTGGATCCGCCACTGATGCCCATGCCCCTTGAGCTTCGGGGGCTTCGCCCCTTGAACCCCACTTGCCTTTGCCCCTATACCCCACTTTGAGAAACGTAATTCAGCGGGGCCTGCATGTTAGAGTGGGGTGATTCGGATTATTTTTTGTCAGCCCCCCCCCCCCCCCCCAAACGTTTTTGCTCATTACGCCACTGCTCTCAGGTGTCTAATGATCAAGCTTGATGGCCGTCAAATTATTCCTGGAAGTGTTTTTCCGATGCGAGGCTGTCCTCATATTCAACCATCTTTATTTCTTTCTCCTGAGAAAGGTTAGACGGTGTTGTTTCCAAGTGTCTGAAAACCACATACGAAAATTACCAGTGTGTTGGAAATAAAAATGCGGATTTTGAGGGTTTGGACATCAAAGATATGAACCGAGTACCATGGGTGGTTAATATATCAAACAATTCAATTCATTTAAAGTTTATTCAACACTCTCCATGAAAACATCATGAGGGCAATGGCGGCACTTGCTTCCCTTTTTAAACCCAAGTGGCAATTTAAGCCGTATCATAACAATTACCTCTCGGACAATTACCCGCCGGAAAATCCCCCCCCCCCGTAAATCTACCCCCAAAAGAAATTCCCCCCCCCCTGGACAATCCCCCCACCCCCTGAATCTTACCACTAAGAAAATTATCACCTCCTTGTTCATTAAAAGGAAGTCCACCCTGATAATAATTTTTTTCGGAGGGTAATTATACTTATTATTTGTCCAAAGAGGGGGGGGGGGGGGGAGGGGGTTACTGTCCTAGGGGTAATTTTCCGGGGGGTAATTGTCCCGCTGGTAATTACCGGGGCAGGGGTGATTACCCAGGAAGTCATTGTCCTAAAACCATCCTAAGCAAAGATAGTGCCCCTCTCCTTTTCTTTGAGGTGATTACAATTTAGTCGGAAGATTTGAGAGTTGAAAACCGGTAAACCTCATGTACATTTCTTTCAACTTCTCGGAGATATATTGTATGTTGAGACTATATGCCATAGCCCCCCCCCCCTACCTCCACATGCCTCCTCTAATAAAATCCCGGATTTATCAATAAAAAAGAAAACTAGTTAAGTATTGAATGAGCATATCGAATACAGTTATTCACGTCTGGAAAAGATGTGCAAAGACACGTAAAAAAAACTGGCTGAAACTTTCAACAATATTGATCTTGTGATTGTCTAAGTGATCTCTCTCTCTCTCTTTCTCTCTCTCTCTCTCTTTTCTCTCTCTCTCTCTCTCTCTCTCTCTCTCTTTTTCTCTATCTCTCTCTCTCTCTCTCTCTCTCTCTCTCAATCTCTCAATCTAAACATTAGAAGGGACCTAAGGTATTTAGCAAAGCGTAAATTGGCGTGGGGTCCAGGGGCAGAGCCCTCGGAAGCTAAGGTTTTGTTAAGGCGTTTAATTACGGTCAGATGAGCATTCAGGGGCCGTCTTAAGGTCCCTGGTGAGGTCCAGAGGGCGGAGACCCCGGTAGCTCAGGGGTTTCAGGCATTTATTTCTTACGGTCAGATGAGCATATTTTGATATCTTAATTGTGACACTCGTAGGTTAATTGGCATGGGGTCTAGGGGCGGAGCCTCAAGAAGCCCAGGGTTTTTATGGCATTAAATAACGTTCAGATGAGCTCCGGGGGCCCGCCTAAGGGCTCTTGGTGGGGAGCAGGAGGCAAAGCTCTTGGAAGCTCAGTGGTTTTAAGCATTAATTATGGTCAAATGTGCATCCAGGGGCGGAGCCCCGGCAAGATCAGGGTTTTTAGGCATGTAATTACGGTCAGATGAGCATATTTTGATACCTCATTTTGTGAAAATGGCAGGTCATTATTTTTTTTTCTTTCTATTTCTCTTTAACATATACTCTTTAACAAGAAAGTGAGGTGAAGGGGGGGGGGGGAGATGAGCATATTGTGATACCTCATTTGTGAAAATGGCAGGTCATTATTCTTTTTTTCCATTTCTCTTTAACATACTCTTTAACAAGAAAGTGAGGTGAAAGGTGGGGGGGGGGGGGCTTCCTTGACATATAGGCTTCTTAATAATCGTATCTTTAGCCTAACTGTAAATTTGGGAATATGTCATTTACCAACAAACGCATAAAAAAGTATAATTTACCCCAAAAATGAGAAATAATCCCAGAAAACCATGTCGTTTCAGCAACATTTTGTAACCCCCTGGTATTGAATTAGAAATAAACCACGTTTGAATTTTATTTGTGGGGGCAGCTGCCCCCCCCCCCCTCATTAGTACGCCAGTGCTTTTTCGTTCTCTTTCTTTTACTATATGAACATTTCCGTCAAGCGATTAGAAATATCGTAAGCGTTTAAGCTCTATAAAGTTCCACAATATAAGTATACGTTCTGAACTTCGCTTCCGATTTATTCTAAACTCATCAAAAACATCTAAACTTATCAAAAACTATCTAAGAAATAATAATAAATAATAATAATAATAATATTTAATTATTATATAGCGCTTAATACAAATGTCTCTAAGCGCTTTACAAATATACTATTACCCTAGTCATTGGATTCAGTGCTTGCCCGCACACATTGTGTGCACTATCTCCACTCCCTGGGGAGCATTCCAGCCGGGCGTTATTAAAGATTTTGCCTCTGAACACTTTACATCACCGTCAAGGAATCACTGGCTTATAACGAGTGAGTCATCTTCTTCTTCAAACAGACTGTTTAATAATAATAATAATAGTTCAGTTCTTGTATAGCGCATAATACGTTATGAAATAACATCTCTATGCGCTTTGGAGCTTTGGACTTTATTACCCTAGCTTAATAGCTCCGGCAGCCTCATCAGCGCACAGTGCATTTCAAGGAATAATCCTACTAGGTACCCATTTACCTCACCTGGGTTGAGTGTGGCAATTGTAGATCAATGTCTTGCCAAAGGACATTAGTGCCGCGGCGGGACTTGAACCGCGGACCTTGTGATTGACAGTCGGTGAAGTATCCACTTGACCACAACACCTCTTTATCAACACCTTTATCAACACAAGGACAATCTTCTCCAAAATATCTTTTATCATCACATCCGTTGTCCGCGCTTTTTCCTGATACTTCGGAGCAAAAACATCGCCCATGTGACCTTACATACACATGCTGGGGATCGTGCTTTTTCGCTGGATCACAGCAAACGTTTCGAGTTAATCAACCAAAAACAGAAAGAGCATGCGCCAAATATAAAAGGTATCTGCTTTCCGGGGGGGGGGTAGATACAAGTTCACTTAATAGCATGTGTCCAGGGACCGTGCAACATATAAGAAATGTAAGAAAACAACATGCACAACATCCGATCCGCAGTTGTACAAAGGCAGAAAAAATTATCCCATTTCGAATGGAAAACATCTTGACAATTTGTCGTCTTCAGAAGATGGACTTTTCGACAGAGAAAGCACGCTTCGGGCTCCGTAGTATATATTTGATTTGTATCGGAGATTTTCGGGGAACCGAATGTGTTATCCCAAATTTGACATTGTCAGAAGTTTTCAAGACCTAGCTAAAACGTAATAAAACTATTATGTAATCAGTCAAATTTAATTGGGATATAACCCTTGGATGGAAAAAGGGAAAAATATAGTAGTGAAGTGACATGAACAAAAATGGAAAAAGAATTTCAAATGTTATGAATATGGAAAAATAGGGAATTTCCCGGAAGGATATTTGTCACCATGCAAGTTATAACATAGGGGAAACTATCCATTAACAAAAAAATTATACAAATGTACCTTTCTCTTTCCATTTCATATTATGGGTACTGAAAAGTATATTTTCCTTCACGAGAATTGAGATAAAGATAATATTGGTGAAGAACAGACAAAGAAGTAAAAGAAGCTTCGCTTCTTGAGAGATAAGCATTTCTGCCAGTATATAGTGAAAACCTAAGCAAGTTTTCGCCAGTACCAATTAAAACATAATATCTATATCCCGACCCAAGTTTCCATGATTACTGCGAATTAGTATTGGAAATACCAGCTGGGGTTTTCTTTTTTAATTGCAAGATCAGCAGGGAAATCATTAATGTCTCTATTTTTTCGACAGGGTTTGTTGGCCCCTAATAATACTGAAGGACATTTTTAAGAGCGATGCTTTTCAGAGGATATTCTTTCTACGATTTTCTTCCAAAGTGACTTTCAAAGAATAAAAGCTCTCTCAAATAATTGTTTTCATCTTTCCCAAAACACAACCTTCCCTAAAACTCCAGGTTTAAACAAGAATTTGTTAGTAAATTGATTAATGCCAAGTGTCAACCTATTCATAATGCGAAAATTCCAATAATTTATTTGAGTAAATGAATGCACAAAAGTAATGTTATTTTGAATTCGATTTTCCATTTCTAATGTCATGAATAGATTTATGCACTCTCGCAAACAATGCCTCCTGTTCATTTAAACGTGAATACATACCCCACAAAACTGTACCAGACAAATCGGAATATATAACACGCTTTCAACACATGTATGATAACCTTTCGTTCATAGCTGACTTTTAAAATTAATGACAATTTTCTGAGTGTAAACTTTTTTGTTGACTCACACTGTCGGTCGTTTCGCGACAGACATCCTTTTCGATCTTTTACATATGATGATGATAAGTATAATTCTCCTCCTCCTCCTCCTCCTCCTCCTCCTTTTCTTTCTTATTTTACTTTTTCTTCTTCTTCTTCTTCTTAATCTCCTTCTTCTCCTTCTTCTTCTTGTTCTTCTTCTCCTTCTTCTTGTTCTTGTTCTTGTTCTCCTTCTTTTTCTTCTTCTCGTTCTTCTTATTGCTCTTCTTCTTTTTCTTCTTCTTCTTCTTCTTAATCTCCTTCTTCTCCTTCTTGTTCTTGTTCTTCTTCTCCTTCTTTTTCTTCTTGTTCTTGTTCTTGTTCTCCTTCTTTTTCTTCTTCTCGTTCTTCTCATTGCTCTTCTTCTTCTTCTTATTGCTCTTCTTCTTGTTCTTCTTGTTCTTCTCCTTCTTCTCCTCGTTCTTCTTATTGCTCTTCTTCTTGTTCTCCTTCTTTTTCTTCTTCTTCTTCTTCTTAATCTCCTTCTTCTCCTTCTTCTACTTGTTCTTCTTCTCCTTCTTCTTGTTCTTGTTCATGTTCTTGTTCTCCTTCTTTTTCTTCTTCTCGTTCTTCTTATTGCTCTTCTTCTTGTTCTTCTTGTTCTTCTTCTTGTTCTTCTTGTTCTTCTCGTTCTTCTTATTGCTCTTCTTCTTGTTCTTCTTGTTCTCCTTCTTTTTCTTCTTCTCGTTCTTCTTATAGCTCTTCTTCTTGTTCTTCTTGTTCTTCTTCTTAATCTCCTTCTTCTCCTTTTTCTTCTTGTTCTTGTTCTCCTTCTCCTTCTTCTTGTTCTTGTTCTTGTTCTCCTTCTTTTTCTTCTTGTTCCTGTTCTTGTTCTCCTTCTTTTTCTTCTTCTCGTTCTTCTTATTGCTCTTCTTCTTGTTCTTGTTCTTCTTTGTCTTGTTCTTCTCCTTCTTCTTGTTGTTCTTCTCCTTATTTTTCTTCTTCTTCTCATTTACCTAGAATCATTTTGCAACGCATATTATATACGAACGATCTACTGTTTAAAATGAATTTAATCCCAAGAAAAGAATGTACATTTTGTAATGAACAGATTGAAACGGATAGGTTGGACCACTGGATACATACTGGACCCGGAAATAAATTAATATTTTCATTACAAGATATATTATTTAGTTTAAGAAGTTCTAATAATTATGCATTGAATTGTATACTGATTGTGGTGCGACAGATGGCTGTCTTTTATCGGTGCAATGGTGGAGTTTGTCTGACGTAGCAGTTACTATTGTGCTGGTGAGAGGGTGCGTGGCATTGCTGTCCCCGGAAATAAGTCGCAGCTCCGACCTGGATTATTGTGCATCATCTTTAAAGGTAAAGACCAGTTATGATCATGCGATTGCATTGTGAAAGAAACGTTGTGGAATCGATCAGAAAAGGTTGATCATCTAGCATCGAGCATCTGCAAGGTTCTGGAATCATCAAAATGATAAGAAATTCGGCCCATTCTTCGTAAAGTTACAAGCACTATACAGAGAAAGATGTATATGGCAGGCGCGGATCCAGGATTTCTTAGGGGGGGGCCCAAATTTGAAATTATGCGAGCCAAATATTGGTACGTAATGGCAACCAGCAGTGACGTAATTGAGGGGGTGCAGGGAGGGGCGAGTTTCCCCCTCCCTCCTCCGCGAAGCGCGGAAGCTCTGATATTTCATTACATTATTAGAAAAAGAAGACGATTCGTTGTACCGTTGCCAAAAATAATCCTCGTCTGAATTCAGTTTCCCCCTTCCGCGCGAAGCGCGGAAGCTTTTACGTTTCATTAAATCATTAGAGAAAGAAGACGATTCGCTGTGTCGTTATCGACTCTTAATTTTCGTCTAAATTCAGTTTCACCCCTCCCGCGCAAAGCGCGGAAGCTTTTACGTTTCATTAAATCATAAAAGAAAGAAGACGATTCGCTGTGTCGTTATCGACTCTTAATTTTCGTCTAAATTCAGTTTCACCCCTCCCGCGCAAAGCGCGGAAGCTTTTACGTTTCATTAAATCATTAGAGAAAGAAGAAGATTCGTTGTGTCGTTATCGACTCTTAATCTTCGTCTAAATTCAGTTTCACCCTCCCGCGCGAAGCGCGGAATGTATTAAATCATTAGAGAAAGAAGACGATTCGTTGTACCGTTCGCGACTCTTAATCCTTGTCTAAAATCAGTCCCCCCCCCCCCCCCCCCCTCCTCCGCGCGAAGCGCGGAAGCTTTTACGTTTTATCAAATCATTAGAGAAAGAAGACGATTCTTATCACCATTCTCGACTATTAATCCTTGTCTGAATTCAGTTTCACCCCTCCCGCGCGAAGCGCGGAAGCTTTTACGTTGTATTAAATCATTAGAAAAAGAAGACGATTCGTTGTACCGTTCGCGACTCTTAATCTTTGTCTAAATTCAATCCCCCCCCCCCCCCCCTCATCCGCGCGAAGCGCGGAAGCTTTGACGTTTTATTAAATTATTAGAGAAAGAAGACGATTCGTTGTACCGTTCTCGACTCTTAATCTTCGTCTAAATTCAGTTTCACCCCTCCCGCGCGAAGCACGGAAGCTTTTACGTTTCATCAAATCATAAGAGAAAGAAGAAGATTCGTTGTACCGTGCCCGACTTTTCATCCTTGTCTAAATTCAGTTTCTCCCCCCCCCCCTATCGCGCGAAGCGCGGGAACTTTGACAATTTATTAAATTATTAGAGAAAGAAGACGATTCGTTGTACCGTTCTCGACTCTTAATACTTGTCTAAATTCAGTTCCCACCCTACCCCCGCGCGAAGCGTGGAAGCTTTGACATTTTCATTAATTCGTTAGAGAAAGAAGACGATTCTTATCACCATTCTCGACTCTTAATCCTTGTCTAAATTCAGCCCCCCCCCCGCCCCACCTCCGCGCGAAGCGCGGATGCTTTTACGTTTTATTAAATCATTAGAGATAGAAGACGATTCTTATCACCATCCTCGACTATTAATCCTTGTCTGAATTCAGTTCCACCTCCCCCTCCTGCGCGAAGCGCGGAAGCTTTGACGTTTTATTAAATTATTAGAGAAAGAAGACGTTTCGTTGTATCGTTCTCGACTCTTGATCCTTGTCAGAATTAAAAAAATGTTCTTTGTCTACTCCCTTTTCTTCCTACGCCCCCTTCCTTTTCACTCCTCTCTTTTTTTGGCCAGCGTTTTTGGGGGGACCATCCCACCAGCCCCCCCCCCCCCCACCCTGGCTACGCGCCTGCGGTCAGATGAACATGTGTTGATACCTTGTCCGCCCCCGGAAGCTTAGGAGTTTTAGGCAATCATTTACGGTCAAATAAGCATTCAGGGGTCCGCCTTAGGCGGGGTCCAGGGGGCAGAACCCGGAAGTTCGGGGGTTTTAGGTATTTAATTACGGTCAGATGAGCATTATTTTGATACCTAAATGTGACACTGGCAGGTCACTAATTGGCGTGGGGTTCTGGGGGCGGAGCCCCTGGAAGCTCAAGGGTTTTATGCACTCAATTACGGTCAGATGAGCATCAAGGGCCCGCCTTAGGGCTCTTGGTTGGGTCCAGGGGCAGAGCCCCCGGAAGCTCAGGGGTTTTAGGCGTTTAATTACGGTCAGATGAGCATTATTTTGATACCTAATTGTGACACTGGCAGGTCACTAATTGGCGTGGGGTTCTGGGGGCGGAGCCCCTGGAAGCTCAACGGGTTTATGCACTCAATTACGGTCAGATGAGCATCAAGGGGCCCGCCTTAGGGCTCTTGGTGGGGTCCAGGGGGCAGAGCCGCCTGAAATGAGGGTTTTAGGCATTAAATTACCGTCAGATGAGCATCTAAGGGCCCGCCTTAGGGCCCTAGGTGGAATCCAGGGGGCAGAGCCCTCGAGGTCTTAGGCATTTAATCATGGTCAGATAAGCATATTTTGATACCTCATTATAATGTGACACTGGCAGTTAACTATTTTTTCTTTCTTGCTCTCTTTCTTTCTATTTCTCTTTAATATACTTTTTTCAAAAAAAGTGGGGGGGGGGGGGAGAGGGCTCGAGGATCCCTATTCCCGTCGTTCCGCGGGCCTTGACATGTAGGCATCTCAAGAAGCATTTTCTTGACTGGCTGTAAATTTAGGAATTTGACATTTTCCAACAAACGCATATAAAAGTATAATTTACTTAAAAGTGAGGAAAAATCTCGGAAAATTATGTCATTTCAGCTTTTTTTTCTAAACGACCGTTATGGAATTAGAATAAACCACGTTTAAATTTCCCCAAAGCTCCCCGCCCCCCCCTCCCTATCAGTACGCCAGTGCCGCCCCCCGATCTATACCTTGTTGGCGGGAAAATTGCAACTGATATCCCTTACCTTTCTTCATTCTCTTTTTTTAAGCGGAGGACGGGGGGGGGGGGGGCAAGGGCATTTTGCCCCCCCCCCCCCCCGATCCACAACTTGTTGGCGGGAAAATTGCACAACTGATATCCCCTTCTTTTCTTTTCTTCTTCCTCTTTTTTCCTTCCCTATATCTTCTCTTTTTCTTTTTTCTTTCCCTTTCCTTCATTCTCTTTTTTTTGATGGGGGGGGGGGGGGCCAAGGCCCGCTCGGCCCCCTGGATCCGCGCCTGGTATATGGGACTACCCTATATCTCTCACAGTCCATGAGAGAAACAAATTTACCAAATATATGAATTAGTAGGCGGTTTCCCGGCAAATTTGTTATCATCATGTATTAGTCAAAACATATTCTTTCACATGATTGGTAATGAGAGCTTCCATTTCATTTTTTGAAATTGGGGCGTTTCCAATACTGGCCTTTACCTTTAAGGTGTCGCCAATTTGAGATATTTTCCTAATCATTAGCAGTGGTCACAACGATGTGATTTTATAGCCCAATAAATAAACAATAATATGTATCTTTTGTAATATTTTTCTTTTTTTTTCTTTTCATGAGTGTCCGAAATACATTGTTGAAATTTTGTAAGTTTTCTGTAAACTCAACACTTCAACGAATACTTGTATCTTGAGTAGTACATTTTATTCATGTTATAGATGTAAATTACATTGAATATGTATTTGTTAATTTGTTGCAAATAAATATCAATAAAATCCCATTGAAGGAAAAATATGGCGAGAAAAAAATCAAAATGCGTGATAATTTATTTTTCTGTAAATGTTATCAGGGAAATGATTATTGATTAGTACGTCAAAGAAGGCCCTAAAATGTCTTTCCTGAGTAAATTATGTTTACTCGATATGGTTAAAAAAAAACATATACATAATTCCAATATTGATGTATGTTATGATTCGGATTTATTTTTCAAAATCGTCTCCTATTTGATGTCGGCTTACCTCTGCCTACGTAATTGATTGACGTAAGCAATTAAGAACACACGACAACGCACGACGAGCTTCTGAATACTTCTCTCTCTCTCTCTCTCTCTCTCTCTCCTCTCCCTTTCCGCCGCTCTTGTTTCTCTCTATCTATCTCTCACTCTTCTCTCTCCCTCTCTCTCTCTCTCTCTCGTTATCTCTTTATCTTTCTATAATTATTTCTCTTTCAACAATACCACGCCATTTACCTTTAAGAAATGAGAACATCCCAGTCTGTCACCCCTTTTGTTCTTTATCTCTGTGTCAGACATATTTACATCAGCATAATTCTCGTTTCCATTTTCAACATCATCACTATCATCAAATTCATTTTCATCATCAACATCATCACCACAACCTTTTTTTTTTTAATAGTATGTTTTTATCATCAAACCGCCCCCTTAAAAATACTGTGTCCCTTCTGCAGCCAACATCAAAATATGTAGAACTTTGCAAGAATATGTCATGTATGTCCTATCTGTGGAATTTAAACGTTAGCAGTGTCCTAATATTCAAATTATGCAAGGAAACCCGTTAACTTGCTAGACTTCACTGTCAGACACTATTGAGTGACTGACTGGCCTTTTTTCTTCTTTGGTAATAACATACATAAAATCAGCTGTACAGGGTACATGAGCATTTGTCTACATCAATAACCCACTTCTTGTAATGGCCAAAATTAAACTGATTGAATCTTTGCGCAACATAAAACGTACGACCATTCGGTACAATGGTCTGAAAATCAGACTATTACTTATTGGCTCTATAGCTTTTAAGTCGATTCGACAACTAATAGTCATTTTCCCACTTAAAGACATTTTCAATCCCTCTTTTTTGTAGGGAAGTTCTAAATTTAGCATTTACTTTCACATGCCGTTGGAATTTAACCTTTTCATTTGTTGGGGCCTGCAAATGGGACATAGTACCTTTAACTCTCCCCCCCCCCCCGGCTAACACGCTATCAAGCAATAACAGCCCTTCTTCTTCTGCAACTTTCTTAATAAATATTTCTTGGTATTGATCAGTTGAATTTTGTTTCAAAGTCATCATTTATTATTATTTATTATATACACGTTCAAAAAAGTTGTTATATTTTGTATTTGTTGTTTACTGAAATTTAATTTGTTTAGTATGTTGCAGAAGAAAATAAATCAATTCAAAATCAGAATCATTTCTCTCTCTCTCTCTCTCTCTCTCTCTCTCTCTCTCTCTCTTTCTCTCGCTCTCTCTCTCTCTCTCTCTCTCTTCCTCTCCCTCTTCCTTTTTTCTGCACATCAGTTCTGCCTGTATTAAACACATCACATACGATTAGGCAAATGCAATTATCCAGGAACTGTATTTTCCTTTATTTCATTAGCTTCCATATCATGACAAATTAATATCGGTAATAAACCATTTTCATCATACCAGTATTGTATACATGTAGTATGTATCTCACAAACAAGACACCAATAGTACATGAATCGTGTGCACGTATACTAATTTGTTTTGTCATGTTTGTGCATTCATTTCATGAAAATAAAATCATCTAATCTGACGGCTCGTGTCATAAATCAGGTTTTTCTGCTAAGTTCCAGCCATTGCCCTTTTAAGCACTTTATCGAAACAAAATTGAACAAATATAGGCAGTATAGGTCAATCGTTTAGGCCCGAATTCACAAAGGAGGTTTGTCGACAAACCTGGTTTTCGTACGTCATATGACACGTTTTACGCGTTTTTTACAAACCTGGTTTGTAAAGAACAAAAGGAGGTTTGGCGAAACAAAAGGAGGTTTGAGCTCAAACCTTGCTTTGTGAATTCGGACCTTAATGTCTATGTTATCGAAATGCTTCAGCACATCAATGTTTCGGTATGCTCTGAAAAAAATGTAGACCCCCTTCCCTACCAAAGAAAATTGAATAACGAGGATATTTTCTATTCAATTAACAATTCAGTCTGCCCCTGTTCAGCGGCGTAATAAGCATAAACTTTGGGGGCGGGGGTAGAAAAAAAAATCCGCATCAGAAAAAAACATGGAAAACACGTCTTTTCAGCAACATTTGTAAATCACTGGTATCGAATTAGAAATAAACCCCTTTTAAATTGTATTCAAAGCCCTCTCCCCCACCCCATCCAACCATCAGAACGCCAGTGCCTACACTGTATGTTCACTTTAAGAAAAAAAAGGGGAAATTAATAAAGTTAAAAAGAGTAAATGAGATAAGAAGAAATGGAGATGGTATAATTGGAACGTAAATTGAAGGGAAATCCAATCCAAATAGCAAATACTCTAAAAGAAATCTGATAAATCAAAGAGGCAAACTGATGAAATGGTCCGATTCATTTCAAATTTTTGCCATTCTGTTTCTTTTATTTTTCTGCTTTCAAACAAATCAACTTATTACAAGGGTTAGATTGCCCTTTATTAAAAGACAATAGGACCTTCCCCTACTCTACGACAATGATGAGAATCTAATTGGTTTTAATAGCTAGTACATACGAAAAGCTTATCCTATTCAGACAAGAAAGATTTGTCATAGATATGTATCAAAATTGATATAAATATGTAATAGAAAATATTTGATCTTGTGCTATTTACAGTAGATATTTTTTTCCTGATACGACTTCAACCCCATGTACAAATGTATTTACAGCACTATGTTCAAGTTATCTCCAGCTTATAATTATACATTTTCAGCTACATCAATCAATCAAAACGATTCGCCTCAGATTCAAAATCATTTATTTTTATTCAGCTATTTTCACGTAATAAAGTCATACTAAATGTTTTTTTCATCAAACAACAAAATATGAAGAGTTAAATCCAAAAGGAGCTAAATCCACTTTTGATGAAAATTGAGTAATTGATATCAAAACATTGTTTACTTCAGAGCCCGTCTTTCAACAAAATAATTTACCTAAATTTTGGGAACAATAATGAAAAAATGCACCTTCTAATATCACTTTTTCGTAGACGCCTGTACAAAATCTGGTAAACTATTTCTATTTTCTCTGAAGTTACAAAAATGGATTTAGCTCCTTTTGGAATTAAACTCTTCATATAGACATGCAATTTGAATATAGATTTTAGGAACCCCAACAAATCTCAAATAGTACTATGAAAACAAAATTATTATTATTTTCAACATTTTAAAATGTAAAACGGTTATTGTTCTAGGGTGCATTCCCGTGAAAGTGCACATGTATGAATAAACACATTCATTTCGACAATCAAAGAAAACACACAAAAATGTTCATCTCAACGAGTTTGCAAATCGATCCAATTAATCGGTTCTACAATACTTTTAGGCTACGAACCGAATGCCTAACTCCTACTTGTGACCAATCACTCAAATCCTAACCCTACACCTAAAATCAAGCTGCAACCTTAAAAGGTCGTTTAGACCTGACGCGGCAAACCTCGGCGGTGTTTAATGTTATGATGACGTTAAGGGTTAAACGCTTCACATATCTGTATCTTATAACACAGAGCTCAGTGAATACTCTCAGGAACTATGTTGCGTGCAGTTGCCATGCATGTTACACGATAACATAAACCGCGGTGGGGTTTTTTTTTTTTGCGGCGGTTTAACCGCGCCAAATCTGAACGAGCCTTTACCGGAAACCTTGTAGAAATAAAGCTTGTACCATTACGTCTCCAGAGCACATGTCTACCATCTATAAATCATGCAAGTAGTCAGGGGCGGAATGGGATTGTGAGGCTCGTTCAAATATGACGCGGTTAATCGCCGCGTTAACATGTAAATGAATGGCGATCCGCGCGCGACAAACTGGACGTGCGCGTATCCATTGAACTCTGTAGTATTAGATACACTTTGCGCCATCGTAAATATTTTTTTTAATCCACCGAGGTTTTTGCCGCATCATATTTGAGCAAGGTTTAATTTAGTTGGAGAATTTTTATGCAACTGGGCCACTCGATATTATTAATTGGCCCCTTAGACCACAAATTTGACCGGCCCTCAAGCCGAAATATTGATCTGCTCATGACTACGACTTCCTAAATTACCTACAAAGCCAGTCTGCCTGTGACATGTAGTCGGCGTAGTATTACCGCTAAAATCCGCCGCTATAATAATAACGTGATGCCTCAAAGAAACTCATCAAAGTGTTTGTGAATAAGAAGCTTATTGCTCGTTTATGTTACATCGTCTAGGCAACCCCGAAGACAGCTCATTAAATGCTAGAGCCCTCGTGTTTTTACTGGCGTCATTGGTGTAACATTTCTTTTCCATACGTTGCCATAGCAGCGTTCTAACAAACTTCTTCTGATGATAAGAGGGATTAAGAGAAATAAATTGCTCAACAAAAATATATTTGGTCGGTATTCATAACACGGTGAACGTTCACTAACAATTCCGTCTCCTTTATGAATACCGGGCTCAGTTCCCGGTTTCGAAATTAGTTGATAGGCTGATTCCTTTTAATAGAGTAAGGCATTAATCCACAATCACAAAGTCCCTCGGATAGGATTGAGAGCCGTAGGTCCTATAGTTGCTTCTTGACAAGTATAGACTTGCTTTATTAGCAGTCAAGTAAAATGCAAATCATTATCATCCTAATCAATATCACCATCTCCATCGTCTTCCTCATCATCCTCATCGAAACTCTTCCTAAACTTAAAGGCTGTTTAAACTTGGAGATCAAGCTGGCCAGGCTAGTTATTCTTCAAAATGTTTTAACTTTGCGATATTTAGAAGTAGGTTTCAAACACATGACGTCATTGTCACCTCGATAGGCTGTACAACACGTTCTCTCATTCATTCGACTTGACTGGGTTATAGCATAACAATAGCACTAAGATGCTGCCTCTGATCCGGCACATGCTGTTCAACATCGGTTGAATGAACACCCGAGTCCGTATGCCCCTCCTCGGAGGATTTCGGCAGTATTTCGGTAGGACTCGTCGTCCCTTCAGAATTTGACTGTGAATCGTCCTTCGGTTTCGAATTCTGTGTTGTCTTCCGTTTCCGATGCCGCGTCCGTCGTACGTTTTTCACCATGAGAGTTGAGTCCGCTAGGGGAGTCCTTGTCCGTACGCATCGATGTCGCTCATTCTCTGTAACACCGAGTTTGGGTCGATCTTTCGTTTTCGACCATCGTTCACGTTCGGGCTTGTCTTGCATGATGAATAACCAGGCGAGCTGCTCCGATCACTGAGTATTCGCCTATCAATCGACGGCGACGGGGTAAGGGTCATATTGTTGTCTGACAACATGTCATTGTTATGACCGTTTCCATGGTTTCCGACGCTTAAATCGGATTGTTTTTTAACTGGGAATGAGTACGATCGTTTAATGTCGACCACCGACGACTCCCTGATCTTTATCAACTCGTTTCGTAAATCTTCATTTTGTTTTTTCAGTCTATCGTTTTCCTTGATCAGCTCATCTGGATTTACCTTCTCCAGATCGGACAGTCGTTTCTTCAATTGCGTGTTTTCTGTCTGGACTTCATTGAGGGTGACCTTTGATGCAGAGCCGTCAACTCCATCCGGTTGAATTTCGACACTGCGCACCCGAGTGGGTCGACTTCCCATGTTGGCCGATTTGGCCGTATTGGATGGGCCGAGTCAAATCTGTACATACATGAAACAGAGAATAAAGAAAAGTTTTATATAGTTCGTACATTTTGAATACTGATAATTACATAAAAAACCTGTGTGAAGAAAATATAAAGATGATGGATATGACAAATAATATGAAATTGCAAGAGTCCTCAAGAAAGAGTGTTAAAGAGCGAAAAATGGGCGGGGTGCGGGGGGGGGGGGTTGTTAGATATGAAGATGAAGCTTGATACAAAACGTGAAATAAAGGAGGGAGGACATTTGTCCATGCTTATTTCTTTAGTTTAGCACAATACCTTTGCAGCATTTTTTTGTAATTTTAGTGAATGAAGCAAAATGTTCAGTTTGATTCACAGAAAAAAAAACTAAGATAACTTGAATCAACGAAATAATAATAATAATAAACAACTTTGGAGTGCCTGAAAAATAATTCTAGGATATTCTAAGCGAATAGAAATAAAGAAGAAGCATATTCATACACGATGGTGTTAGTTAAAAATAGCACCGACAGGAAAACCGTCCAAGGACACGTTTTATTTCAGTTTATCAACGCAGGAATGAAGCCATACTGAATCCTTCTCATCTCACTGCCCCCCCCCATTTCTTTCTTTCTCTCTCTCTCTTTCTCTCTGTCTCTCTCTCTCTCTCTCTCTATCTCTCCCCCCCCCCCCCATTATCTCTCTCTCTCTCTCTCTATCTCTATCTCTCTCTCTCTCTCTCTATCTCTCTCTCTTCTCTCTATTTCTCTCTCTCTCTTTCTCTCTATCTCTCTCTCTCTCTCTCTCTCTCTCTCTCTCTCTCTCTCTCTCTTCTCTCTCTCTCTCTTCTCTCTCTCTCTCTCTCTCTCTTTCTCTCTCGCGATTCTTGCCTTTTTCCCGTATCATCTCTTGGTTCCTTTTTATTCCCTCTAGATCTTCTGTATACATCCATTTGTTATTTATTCCGAGTCCTCACTGCCAAAAATCCGGCATCGTAATCGCGTTTTCCTGCTTTTTTGGTGATCAATAATTTTATGGAAATATGTATTCTGCTCCGTCAAAAATGTTCTGCTTCTTTGCAAACCACATCTTAATGAGCACTTGGTTACTATGGACAATTTCATCAAGCGATTAAAATAAATTTGAACAGATTTGAAGATAGAAAGAACGAAATCAATAACAGAGTACTAAAGGCTCATTATCGTGTCCGCTGAGTGGTTCTGTATTCGATATTAATTTTATTCCATGACTAATTTTTTGATGGCTCTCACCGATTGGCATTGATCAACAACGTAGTATAATTAATTTTGCAAAAAAAAAGTATATGCTACTTTTCCCCCGCTCTCTCCTTACGAGCCGGTAGCATTTGACCGATAACGGTTTGCATAACGGTTTACCATAACCATAATAAATGGGTCTAGTTTACCAAGGGTAGCCCCATATGCTATTCATGCGGGCACTACAATTATTTACATCATTATTGCCAGGTATTCATTTACACATGGGTGGAGAGTAGCAAATGCGGATTAACGTCCTGCCACAGGACGTTGGTGTTGGACTGGGATTCGAATCCTCAACCCTTGGATAGAGAGTAAAGTGAACTAACCACTGCACCACGGCACCTATAATAGTGCAATAATGTACATTGTATGAAAAAAACGTGTGTATTTTGGGTATATAATTATTGTTACAGTGCATTATTGCATAAAAACCAGGAGCAAAGGCATCAAAGTTTGTGTGTGAGAAATAAGCTGTCTCGCCAATTTCAAGATATTTTTTAAAAAGTTCTTCTCATGAGTAATTACTGTTTTAAAGGTTTTGTATCTTGAAATATGTAATTTTGTAAGCGCTGTTGTATTCTTTATTACAATATACCTCTAAAGGCGCTATTAATGTCATCTTTTCTGTTATTATTCCGTTCGTTAGGCCTAAAGGATTGTTCCCATGGTAATAGACAAAGATTAATATTGAAATTCTTGAAGAAGGCTGTATTCTACGATGAAGGAGATATAACTACTTGAATATGATTTATTCTCAAAACGTTAGATAAAATAAAGAATTGAATTAGGTTTGTTACGATTAAATGATAAACTTTATATGTATTCACTTTTTTAAACTATTGTTTACAATTAAAAAAAATTCTCTATATATTAATATTTTTTTCCGAAACACTTTAAATGTTATTTCTGTTAGAGTCCAAAATGATAAACTAGAAGCTAAAAAGCTTGTACAAATCTTTTAAAGGAGAAAACCGAAATTGCCCTCAATCAATTTTTGTTTATACTTCTGTTGCCATGGCGATTTATTTGTCCTCAACACTCTATGCTGGGATATTATGAAGTTTATCGTCACTGCTTTCTCCAAAGATATTACGATTTCATTATCCGTCTTCCCTCATGTAAGCCTCAATGATCTATATTCCGCAAACATTATTAACAATGATTGGCAGCCGACTGACAGCATAATTGCAGAGTACACAAAGCAATAACCGTGCCATAACGCTCACGTTGTGTCGCTTGTATGTCAATAATGGATGCTGTATACGCCTGTTTCTACCTGTTTCCATGGTTACCAAGTGATGTAGTCCGAGAGACACACAATGATTAAAAACAGTCGTTCTCATTCTTTTGTGTATAGTTTTAATGTATCGATGGAACAATACACGCATACTTATGTGGGTGTTTTGAAGAAAATCACTCGATATAGATTTTTCAATTTACAAGTCTCCTGGTGGTAATTATCATCATTTTCACTCTTCATTATAAGTACTAGTGTTGTGATATCAACTTTGTCGTGATAATATCTCTTTTTATCATGACAACTAACTTTTTAGCAGCAGTATCTTCATGCATCTGCTATAGCGTCGTTCTTTTGAAGAATTATGACCTAGCGGGTTAAAGAAAAGATGGCTTGGTAATGAAGAAATACAAAATCTAAACTAAAAAAAGAGCAAGCTTTCTTGAAATGTAGGAGGGGAAAAAAAGAGTAGGGAATAATTTTAAAAAAAGTTATGGAAGGAACGTTTTCGTGTATGTGTGTGGGGGGGGGGGGGGTTCTCTAGAAAATTAAAGGTTAACAACCATGAGAGGATTAGAGAGAGATTTAAAGGTCCGAATTTGGGTTTATGTTAGCATTACACTGATTAAGCTCAAGAGCCACTTTCAATTCGAGATTGAGAGAGGGGGAGAGGTCGAGAGAAAGAGGAGAGGGAGAAAGGAAAGAGAGAGAGGGGGTAAAGGAAAAGAGAATGAGAGAGTGAGAGAGAGAGAATGAGAGGAGAGAGAGAGAATGCGAGGGAGAGGAGGAAAGAGGAGTGAGAGGGAGAGAGGGAGAGGGTGAGACGGAATGAGAAAGAATGGATAAAATAAAAATCTACGAAATAAAGGAGAAAGGCATATTCGGCGAGAATACAGAGAGAGAAAGAGAGAGAGAGAGATTTTGATAAATAAGGATACCGAGAGAGAAATACAAATAAAAAAGACGCCAAAAGACGAGGGAAATTAGGAAATAATTCTTCCTTCCCCACCACCGGCTAGGAAATGAGGCTGGAGTCTACAAATGCAAATGTCGCTCGCTTCCAGGCCCAGGGCTCGCTCTCACCTTTCCCCGATGATCGATGCTCTCTTACCGCTGAACTTTGCAAAGGGGGCTTTACAGAATCGAGCAGACTGAATTGAAATTGATAGGATGCTCTCTAAACGTTATTGATCTTCCTGTGATGTGACATTTCGACTGAAGAAAAAAAACACGGTCCATTTAAAGACCTCATAAGCATTTCCCGAAAGGGCAGACGTTGAGTTTCCAAATGAACGTGGTAAAGATTGATTGTTGAACTAGAAATGCAACCTTTCATTTTCTTTATTATATTTATGAAATAATTATGTCATGGTAGAGGAAGTACATAATACAAAATGGGGGGGGGGGGTTGAGCCAGAGAGTAGGGGAAGGACGGCTAGATGGATATTGAGAGAGGGAGGGAGATAGAGAGATAGACAGATTTGGAGAAAAGAGAGAGAGAGATATAGATTGGGGGAAGAGAGAGAGAGTGAGAGATATCCAATGGGAGAGAGGGGGGGGGGCAGAGAGACAGAGACAGAGAGACAGAGACAGAGACTAGAAGATATTGGGCCTCTGTAGGACTAGTTCGCCGCCATTGCCAAAGGTTCCTTGGAGTCGGGTAAAAGTCTGAGAATTCGAGTAAAATCCCCGAATTCAGGGAAAAAACAGTAAATTTCATTGATAAATAATCATCGAGTATACCTTGTCCAAACAATGTATCCCCTCTCGATGAATGGCGTACTCATCATTGAACATACAACTAACAATCAATGAAGACAAGTCAAATGGAAAACCGGTTGCAGTAATCGTCCTAGAATTTTGAAACTTCATTAGTTAAAAAAGAATTGGCAAAAAGCGGAGAATCATGTTTAAATGAAATGCTGCAAATCCTGCATGAATACACAATAGAGCAATCAAATCTAAAGAATTACAATCTGATCAGGAAAATCAGCATCGCCGCCTTGATTAAAGAGAATGAAATGAAGAAAAAAAACTCTTTAAATCATTCTTCGCTCTGGTGGTCCAAAATCAATCCTTCCACATATCATTTAAAGGGCAGCACAAAGATTTTCATAATAAGGGTCCAATTTGCCAAACGTTAATGATGAGCAAAAAAAAAAAAAAAAGCATAACACGATAGCAAATAATTTGAGAAATCAAGGCAATTGTACAATTCTTTTTATTCGTCGCCTTTTGACTTGTGCGAATTGACAATGACGTATTACATTATTCGAACACAATGGAGGCAAGTTGGAGGGGTCCCAGTCCAACATAATCTCTGACAAGTAGAGAAAGAGAAAATATCGATTTTCAGATTATCAACCGCCGTTACCCTCCCCCCTCCCCCCCCCCCCCCCCCCCCCCCCCCCCCCCCCCCCACCCACCTCCTCCGTCCCGTCCATCTGTCTTTGCTTTATTTTCCCAAGTTCTTTTGTTTTATTCTCAAATTTGCCTCATTCATCTCTCCAGGCACAT